ATAATGCCATGAACATAAAAAAATTACCTTTATATTCTTAGTATCTTAAATAATACAGACTCATCATGAAACTGAAAAGGAAAGAAGATGAATTGTATTTCATGAAAGCTGAAATTTTTATTTAATAAAAGAAATTATTTTAGAGAAGCTATACTGTAAAAGATGTACTAGAGAATACATTTAAAATATTTACAACAATGTTCTTATTTTCAGAATATATAAATAACACGAAAATGTAATATTCACAGTGCAAGGCAAAATCTCTCAATCTTGACATTATTGACATTTTGGACTGGATAATTCTTCTTTCAGGCAGCCTTCTTGTGCACTATAAGATGTTTAGCAGCATTGCTCTCCTCTCTCCATTAGATATCAGTAGTAACTCTCACATATGACATCCAAAATTTCCCCCAGGTATTGCCAAATGTCCTTCGGTTGAAACCACTAATATATGGCATCCATCAATAATGAATACAAATTCAGTGAAGAAGTAGGAAATGACCTACAACCAAAAGAAAAAATGACCAAGGAAAACATTCAGAAATTATTTCGATGATGGAATCTTTGAATTAAATATTCCAAAATAAGAATTATAAAAATAATTTATAATTTGAGGAAACATGAACATGAGAGAAAAAATGGATCATACAGTATTACTGTTTCTACAAATTCCTGCTAAATATACTTTTTTACTACTTTTCACCTTATAAAAATTTTGCTAAGTAGATCCATATTTACTGCTTCCCTTCATCATTATATATACTAAGATACATTTCCATCATTCTACATAGATGTACTTTATTAGTTATGCTTTTGAATAATAAATTCATCCTTAGAGACCTATGCAAATTCATCTTGGGTGAAATTGCTTGGGCCATAAAAATATATGAATGTAGAACTTGACAAGGCCAAGCTTTTTGCCTAAGAGATTATATCAACATACTCTTCCATCAGCCATGTACAGGAAATCCTCTTTAATTATATACTGCTTATTCAGAAAATCTAATTTCATGTTTTTGCTTCAGATGAATATATAACAAACTATACTAAATAATAGAAGTGAACCTGTCTCTGCTTTCTGAATTTATTATTTTTGGACTTTGTATTTCATGGCAGCAGTAGGTTTTCCTCCAAGTGATATGAACTTCAATTTGTTTGATCTCTAGTTCATGCATCACCTTCTTGTGCTCCTCACTATTGCTGACCTTCATCTCCACTCCACTATGTACTTTCTGTTAACCAATCTTTCATCATTCACTCTGCCTTTCTTTAATCACTATCTTAAAATGATCACAGCCTTTCTGAAGGAAAACAAGACCATCACCTTTAGAGGTTGCGTGTGTCAAATTTTTTTTGGTGATTTCTTTGGAGGGGTTGAGATTGTGCTATTTGTGTCAAAGGTACATGACCATTACATGGCCATCTGCAAGCTACTCCACTGTGCTAATGTCATGAACAGACCAATGTGTGCTGGGTTAGTGATAACTTCATGGATCATTGACTTGTGCACTCAATAGATGAGCTAGCTTTGACTGTAAAGCTGCCCTCTTGAGAAGGCAGGGAACTGAATAACTCCTTTTTTCTGCTATTGCATTGATGATCAAGTTAACCTACATACATGGCTATATTCTAGAAATATTGTTTGCTATTGATAGTAGCATGCAGGCAACAGCTTTCTTTATTCTGCAGCTGATATCTTAGTCATACTCTTTTACTATCTGCCTTCATTCTAAAGATGGAATTTACAAGACTCTTCCACCCGCACTGTCCACATCAGATTGGTGGTGGTCCTTTTTGGGTCTTGTATTTTCATCTAACCATGACCACTTGGCATCACCAGGGTGAACAAGTTTCTTGTCATGTTTTATGCAATCATGATACTTCTCCTACAATCTGTCATTTATATGTGAAGAAATGAAAAAATGACGATATTGTTATATGGAAGGACTTGTGTGGGTTTTTAGAATGTCCATCTGTCTTATTACTAGGGACTGGGAAGTATTTCCAAATTCATATATGGAAATCATGTTTATTTTCATGTCAATACTACCATATCCCACAGTCATTTATTGATCATTAAATAAATTCCATGTCTGGGAAGGTTAGTTGTCTTTATGACTGTGATTTGATTGTGATCCAGAATCACTTTAAATTGCTAAGTATTAAGTTAGTTATTACTGTCTGTGCTGCTATTTCAATACCTATCACCACATCTTGGTATTTTCTATTATGATGAGAATTTCTTTAAGACAATTGACACCAATCTTTAAATATCAGTAAGTCAGTACACTGACTATTGGTATCTGTATTTTACAAATGAGTAAATGTGTCTTTTAAGTAGTTAGCATTCTAGCTACCTTACCTACAGGAACACCTACTAAAATCTTCATTAATATTACCCATCAGACTCAGAAAAAAATTAATTATAACCATAATCTGAATGAAATACTATTGCGTGAACTTCACATTTTATACATGCTTGAGAAAGTGTAATTATCTTTAGAAGATATGCAATAAATACAAAGATGGATGTCCTAAGGCCTTTGAGACTTTTTCTTCTTTTCTTTCTAATTTTTAAATGAATTACAGGGTTTACCATCTATAACAGATAAAGTAAAGGAAAAGTGTTATGAAGATCAGGCCAAAAAGTCTAATTTTCAAATAACTACCCATTTAATTTACTGCAGAGTTCAGATAGCCTGAACTCTAGTTTCTACTAGATTATATACAGCGTTTTTGAACTGTTCATTATTGCATGTAACTTTCTTGAGAATTCTTCTTTTGGTATGCCTCAAAAAGGTATACATGTTCTTATCTGAGAACTATGGATCCAGATAGCCATCAAATTTCAGATTGCTTTATATAGATAACATGGCCATGCACACTTTGTAGTATTCCCAATAGAGTGTCAGAGGCATCAACACTTAAATAAAACAATTACTATATAATACTTTGATTTTTACAATTTTTTTGTTAGAATAATGTCTATTGATTTGGATTTGAATCTGCTGCCTTCCTCTGTGTCCATTTTCCTTAAGCCTTCAGACTCATAATTTAATGTGTCTTTTTCAGCTGTGAAAGAAAACACTTCTTATATTTTCCATTTCTAGTGATTCATTTTTTCTGTTTTTCAATATTTATATATAAATGTTATTTTATACTCTCTAGTCATTTCAGTAATTGACCCTGTTTCTAAATATTAACTATTTTCTATTGTTAGTTGAATATTTGCTTTTTGTGCACATTCCATAAATTTTATGCATATTAGACATTGTGTATAAAAGATTGTAAACTTCTGACTGGATGTATTCCTCTAGAATCTATTTACTTTTCATTTTTACTTTTCATTCCTCTAGAATCTATTTACTTTTCATTTTGGATCATACCTTAAAAGATTAAGGTATGATCACGTCTATACCAGCAAGAACTAAGCATAAATGAATATAGATTATAGTTTTTATGACTCTGCATACTTATGGTTTATGCCTGCTCCTTGGACATATATTTTCCAGGTGTTAATTACAGTTCTAAGGGATCTTTTACTCCACAATCTGAAAGGTATCATGAATTCAGTTTTTCCCGTAAGAAATTTTAAGCTTAGAATTTTAGTCTTCTCCCTTCTCCTGCTTACTTCAAAAGTATGACAAAATCCTAAAGCAGATAACATGTTTCTATATTTGTCTTTTTAAGTTTAGTAACAAAAATCCATTGCAAATATAAATGTTAAGCTACAAAATAATTATGAGCTGGGAAAATAAGATACATTACTTATGATATAAATCCAAATGAATTTTGGATCACAAATACTCAGAACATAGATTCCTTTTATAGCTTAGTAGTAAATTTGCTTCCATCTTTTAGTTACCAAAGCAAAATATAAATTGAATTAGTTTCATAATTTCTACATATTATACAGCATACACATATGTTAGGAGCTCATGTCTTGAGTAATAAAGGAGTAATACAAGAAAAGTTCCTGGAGAAACATTTTCAGCCAAAATTTGGGCAGAGTAGTTGTTGGATAATAATATGACCAGCGATGAAATTATCAGAGTAGCATGTATTTGATGTTTAGGGAGTACTCATTGACTGATTGAGTCACAGATATTAAGTGAGATGTCAAAATTTGTGAAATCAGCAGCATGCATATATTGTACACATGACATACACATCACAAATATGACATCTAAATCATGCTACCCTGAGCCAACTAGAAATAACTTAACACCATTCAACATGAGACAATCAAGCATGAGAGTAGTAACCACAGACCAAGTACATGAAATGTACTATTTCTGAGGTTCTCCCTCTTGGTTTCAAACTCCTTCCATGTATCAGTCTTCCCTTATTATGTTACCTTACCCATCTTTTGTCCACTTCACTTCTCCTGCTCTGTTCTTTTTCCTCCAGTTTTATTTTATCCATTTATTTATTTTTGTAAATATTTATTTATATTGCAGTAACATTGGTTTACATCATTGTTTGTATTTGGAAAATCCCTCCAGTTTCAAATCATCTACAATTTTCTGTCTTTTTGAAAAAACATACACACTTAATAATTCATATCCTGAATTTAAATGAATATAGTAGGAGATTTCTGTATTTCATAGTTCCCTCAAAAACCTGAGCATATTTACTCTAAGCTAATTAATTTGAATTCAGGCAGGGTGATACCTAATTTCATAGTGTCATCATTTCTAAGTTTCATCAACTTCATATAAACATTTCCTGAGATTTAAATTCATTTGTCAAACAACTCTTGAATAAAAAGTTAAAATATTCCGTTACAGTCTTATAATAATGATCTGTTCTGAATATTATAAAATGGTGACCATATAAAGTTAATGTGATAGTACAATATAAATTCATTTTCATGAGTCTATTCTGAATACTATAAAATGTTGACTTTAGAAAAATTGCCCTCAAGTTTGTCTAATTATTTAAGCATTTTACTACTTGAAGTTCTTAGAAAATATACAAATTAGCTTGTATTCTTTGAGTTACTTAGGAGATACCCTCAATGTGAGGAATTGACTACTCAGTCTCCTCATTGCTAGCTTCATCTCTTTATTCCTCAAAGTATAAATAGCAGGATTCATAATGGGTGTAATCATAAAGTCCAAAATGGCAAGAAACTTATCCACTGGCACTGTGGGAAATGGCCACATGTAAATGACAATACATGGTCCAAAGAATAAAACCACCACAGTGATGTGAGCTGATAGGGTAGAGAGAGCCTTAGACAAACCAACTGAAGAGCATTTCCATACAGTGATCAAGATGTATATGTAGGAAATAATCAATAAGAAGAAGGTTCCCATGGAAATGAACCCGCTGTTGGCAGTCACCATAAATTCCAATCCATAGGTGTCTGCGCAGGCAAGTTTTATAAACCAAGGAAGGTCACAGTAAAAACTATCAATCTCATTAGGACCACAAAATGGCAGGTGGACAACAAAAGCTAACTGAGCTACTGCATGAATGAAGCCAATAGTCCAAGCACCACATAAAAGCAAAATGCACACGCGTGGGTTCATGATAGTCATGTAGTGGAGAGGCTTACATATGGCCACATACCGGTCCAGGGCCATAGAAATGAGTAGCACCATCTCAGAGCCACCCAGGATATGAATACCAAATATTTGAACAATGCACCCCTGGAAAGATATGGTCTTATTCCCAGAGAACAGGTCAGAAATCATCTTAGGAACTGTTAAGGTAGAAAGACACAAATCAATGAATGAGAGGTTGGCTAGAAGAAAGTACATGGGTGAATGTAAATGAGGAGCAAAGATCACTGTAAGCACAACAGTGAGGTTTCCCAGAAAAATTGTGACATAAAGCACCAGAGAGAAGACAAGGAGGACATGCTGCACTGGTCTAGAGGTAGAAAGTCCCAGGAACACAAATTCAGACACCGAAGAATAATATGTTTTATTCATTGACTTTGTGTTACCTGAAAGGAACAAATAAAAATTATTATAAAAGAATACAGCAGATAATGAAAGAAGCAGATATCATTGGAGAAAATTTTTGAAAAAAATTTTCACTCTTCATCGCAGATTTCCTTTGAAACTATCACAAAATAGTTTATTCAATTAACAAATATTCATTGAGTAGTTACCATGAGACCTCTTATGTACTTGGGATAAGACACATACTTTCTCGTTACAGAGCTTATAGACTATTTGCGAAGGTAGTCTTAGATTACTATCCCCTAACAAGTTGAATGTAAGGTTGAAAAGTTGTTTTAACAAAGGACTAGGTGAACTATAGACCTCATAGCAGTGCCAAATGCCATGGTCTGGACAGACTTTTGTGCTAAGCTCTAGATAATGAATAGGAGTTAAATAAATGAGGAAAAGGAGAAAGAGTGAAATGCCCACAGGAAAGGCATGGGAAATACTCTGCAGCATGAAGAAACTGCATGAAGGTACTGAAAAATTTGGACTATGCAAAAGAAGACCAGGGAGGTTTGATCAAAGTTGAATCCTGTGGGGTCTGAATTCAGTCTATGTCTCAGAAGTGATAGGAAGTCACTTGAGGCAAAACATTACTATAATCATATCAGTGCTTTAGAAAGTTTCCAGTAGCTGAAAGATGAAGAATTGTAATAGAGGAAAAGAGGCCTGTTGGGAGTCTATCAAAGGACCATATCAAATCAGTATAGAAAAGATGAATTTCTCAGCAAATGGTGTCGCACACTTTCAAAACTTGCCAAAAATAAATTGAATTCCTTATCTTATACCTTAACTAAAATAAGTTCAAATGGACACTCAAATAAATTAAAAGAAACAGAAACATATGCAAAATAAGGTTGATTTTTACATAATCCATTTTTGGCAAAACTTTTTCATAACTAAAAGGGAATGTCACCACTTACTGGGACAATACCCATATATACTTACTATTTACGGTATTATTTAACAACAATGGCAAAGAATTTTAAGTAACTGAAATATAAATTAATACAGAATATCTTAATTATAATGTAGTTATATATTGAAATACTATGTAACCCTTAAAAACAATAATATAGACCTACATAACAGGGACCTAAAGTGAAAAATCTTGCATAATAAAATTAATAACATGATTCTGAGTATATGCACATGAAAACATCTTAAAAAACAAATAACCTTTAATAATTATTAACATAGTAAAATGTGACAGATTATATGTGACTTTAACTTTCTAAAATCTTTATATATGGCTTTTTAATGAACTTTTACAATTGTTAATAAAAATATGGATTTTTCAAAGTATAATATATATAGTGTAAACATGAAAATTCAATATACACAGCGTGTTAAAAGGAGAATAAAACACACATTGAAAATAATGAAACGAAACTTACTAGTAGGTGACCAACTCTTCTTATCAAAAGTCAAAGTAACAGTATCACAAATATTCTTTCCAAGGGTTCATTTTGTGTGCAACCTTTGTATTTTTAAATGATTAACACCATCTTTCTGGAGTTCTTGTGTGTGTGTGTGTGTGTGTGTGTGCAAATGTTTATGTTGATAGATTTCTTAATTTTTTAAGGATGGAGATGAGAAAAAAAAGATGTGAAAAGGAGAAAAGTGACAGAGCAAGAACAAAACAGGAGAAAAGAGAAGAAAATTCAATTCATAGCATTAAAAAAGAGAGTGTAGGCAATTTCTGCAAGATAATTTACAGTCCTGTTAACATCCTTCAATGTAGGAGATAAACCTAACAGACATTAATTTATTATAAAGCTTGAGTAATAGAATAGTACTTACCTTTGTAAGAATAGATAATAAATAAATATTAGAAATCTGAGATTTCAGAAACCGAGTCATAGATTAAAAATCTGCTGTTTAGGATAATAGTGATGTTATTTGGAAATTTATAAAGCTGGTTACCTACACAGTCTTAAAATAAATTCAGATATTTAAACATTTCAATAATAGCAATTCATACAAGACCAAGGTAAATATGCAAATGGAATGTATGCTTTATTTTATTTTGTAATATGGAATTAGAATCAGACAAAGGCAGAAGTAAATGTTAATGAATTTTTTTCAATGAAGATGATGTAGCTCCCTGTTATCTCAATAGCACAAACAAAATTTAAAAAGCAAAAGGTTTTTTCTTTAAAAATTTTCGTAAGGTGCCGAAGCACCTGCACCCCTATGTTTATAGCAGCACTGTTTACAATAGCTAAGCTTTGGAAACAACCCAAATGCCCAAAAATAGATGACTGGATCAAGAAGATGTGGTACATATACACCATGGAATATTACTCGCATTCAAAAAAGATAAACACATGCAATTTGCAGCAACATGGATGGAGCTGGAAGGGATCATGCTCAGTGAAATAAGCCAGAAAGACAAAGAAAAATACTGGATGGTCTCACTCATAGCAGGAATCTAGAAAACTTAAATAAGGGACCAGGAAAATGAATAACTATAAGAAAGTGAAAATCAAAATCAACAAAAAATTATGAACCAGAGACACTCTGTGGTGGGGGATGGGGGGGGCGGGGAGGGGAGGGATTGGGGTCAAAATAAGGGGGTTGCAATTGTATGGGGAATATAAAAATAAAAGTTATTTAAAAAAAAAAAATTTTCGTAAGGCGGGCCTCCCCTGGTGGCGCAGCAGTTGAGCGCTGGGCTGCGAGGCTGCCTGCAGCCTCTGCAGCGCTGGTTCATTCCCTGGCCATCGACGAGGGTCCCAAAATTTTTTTTTTCATAAGGCAATGTTAATAATAAGCTAAGATAAAATGCAAAATGTTTAATAAAATATATAAATGGTATTTAAATATATGAAAAAAAGTTTAATTTTAATGAAATTATAGCTTAAGGTCATTTAGATATATTAGTATATTAGTGAAAACAGGCACATACATAGGTCCTTAGTAACAAATTCTTATTGGTCATTAAGAAAAATTTCAAGAGTTCAATAATACAAATCAGCCATAGTAAAATATAGAACATTTAGGAAAATTTGTAAACAATGTTTGAACATGTAAAAAAGTTTAATTTCATTAAAAATATAATTTGAGTTTATACACATCAAAGCATTTTAGTGATTTACTTTGGATGGTAGAATTATCTATCTGGTTACATTTGTATTTCTTGATATACCACAAATACATAATTTACATGCTTTAATTATATAATTGTAAAAATTCTAAAATAGATATTTCACTTACTAATATGCAAACATAAGAACCTCTTTAACCTTTCTTCTCCATACCTTTTGCTTGCTTTGGAAGTTCAATGGTAAATCAGTGAGACTCTTCTAAGACTTCTCACTTGACTCCACTTTCTTTGGTTTATTGTATGTGCTAAATCTAACATAGGAGAAATTCCTTTTATTTTCAAATTGTATAAGCAAAATGAGAATTGTATCAATTAGTGACCCTGGAAAAACCTTGACTCATAAATCAATTCCCTCAGCAATTAAAATGCCATGCATTTGGGAAGCTACATTATTAAGTCTCATTAGTGTTAACTTTTTCTCATAAAATAGGTATAGAAATTAGGCATTAACTACCATATAATATACCCTGTTTGTGACATACAGACAGGTATGTATATAAGCTGTGTATTTATTTAAAACCATAGACAACATTGAATTTTCATTGAGCTAAGAAAAGTTTATAAATGTGACAAAATTGTTTTATTGCTTTTATTTTATTACAAAAAAATTCTTTAAAAACTTTGGTGACCCCAAACATCTTTCTTTAGTACTATCATCTGAATAAAGGTCAAGAGAAGAGTACTAATGTAGTTGGCAATAATGGAAATAACTATTTCCTAAGAATCACATGTTGTGATAACTTTTAATTTCCCTCTATAATTAGTTCCTCTTGGATTTATGAGCTCTGCTAGTACTGAATTGTGCCCAAATAGTTCATGGTTAAAAATGAAAAACACTCTTCTTTCTTTGATCTCCTATGTGAAAAAATAGTTGACTAATTTTTTTTATTTCTCATAGTTTACTACCTCTGTTTATTATGTCAACAAATGTCCTACACAACCAGTCATTTTCTCCATTTATTAAGATTTTCATAGAAAAACGTGTTCAAGACAAGGAGGACACCACTTTCCAGAATGTATGGGATGCAGCAAAAGCAGTAATAGGAGGAAAATATATAGCAATACAGGCTCACATCAAGAAACAAGAAAGAACTCAAAGAAACAACCTAATATCACATCTCAAAGAGCTAGAAAAAAAAAAACAAAAAACCCTAATGCCAGTAAAAGAAAGGAAAATAATACAAAAGCAGAAATAAACAAAATGGAAATTAAAAAAACAATCCAAAAGATCAATGAAACAAAAAGTTGGTTCTTTGAAAAAATAAACAAAATAGACAGACCTCTAGCCAGACTCACAAAGAAAAAATGGGAGAAAACACATATAAATAGGATTATAAATGAATGAGGAGAAATCACAACAGACTCAGTAGCAATCAAAAGAATAATCAGAGATTACTATGAACACCTGGGATTACATCAAACTGAAAAGCTTCTGTACAGCAAAAGAGACATTAACCAAAACAGAGAGACACCCCACTGATTGGGAAAAAAATTTTTGCATTCCATTCATCTGATAAGGGACTGATCAGGAAGATATACAAAGAACTCACAGGAATCAACAAAAACAAAATAAACAATCCAGTCAAAAAATGGGCAGAAGAACTTAAAAGACATTTCTCCAAAGAGGAATGCAAATGGCCAACAAGCATATGAAAAATGTTCAACATCCTTATAATGAGGGAAATGCAAATTAAAACCACAATGAGATACCGCCTTACACCGGTAAGAATGGCACATATCAACAAAACAAGCAACAACAAATGTTGGCAAGGATGTGGTGAAAAAGGAACTCTCCTGCATTGCTGGTGGGAGTGCAAACTGGTCCAACCACTGTGGAAAGCTGTCTGGAGGTTCCTCAGTCTACTGAAAATGG